TCGGCATTAGGTATACATATATGCCTTCCTTCTTGAACTCCCCTTCCACCTCGCTCCCCATCCTGCCCCTCTATGTTGTCATAAAGCACTGGCTTTTTGTTCACGGCATCATACATTGTTCCACTGGCTGTTTATTTTATATATGATAATGTATATGTTTCAATGCTATTCTCCCAAATCATGCCACCTTCTCCTTCCCCTACTGTGCCCAAAATGTCTGTGTCTCCTTTGCTGCCCTGTAAGTAGAATTGTCAGTACTATCTTTCTAGATTCTATATATATGCATTAATATATGATATTTGTCTTTCTCTTTCTGACTTACTTCACTCTGTATAATATAACGGTTCATCCACTTCATTAGAACTGATTCAAATGTGTTCCCTTTTATAGCTCCAGTATATTCTTCCTGGAAAATTCCATCTACCAAGGAGCCTAGCAGGCTACAGTCTATGGGGTTGCAAAGAGTCAGATATCACTGAGCAAGCAGGTAATCCTATGGTATTGTTAAGGTGATTTTTTTTTTTAATGTCCTCTGGTTCATCCCCAGCTTCTTGTTAATAAGTCTTTATGTTAAATTTTCCCTTTTTAAATAACTGATATGTTCCTTGTCTTCTCACTGAATCTTAACTGATACAGTGCAAAGGATGGTCTTTAATCATACCATCATTCCAAACTGCAGTTTCAGGATTAACTTGGTCATGTCCTTGGATTTGAGTATAGTGCTAGACCACTTACTAATGGGAAATGGATTCTTGTCTTCTTTGGTACACCATAACAATTAATAAAGTTATTACCTATAGTTTACTGTGATGAACTGACAATTAAAGTAAGTATATTGGGAGTCCAATATACTTGACTAATGATGACAACAAGGATGGTAGTGTCTTGGTCTGTTTGGGCTACTATGGACTGGCGCCTTACAAATACCAACAGTTATGGAGGCTGGAAAGTGCAAGATCAAAGCATCAGTAGATTTGGTGTAGCTTGCTTTTTGGTTCACTCTATCTATTTATTCTGGTCAAGAAGCAACAGTTAGAATCAGACATGGAAGAACAGACTGGTTCCAAATTGGGAAAGGAGTACATCAAGGCTGTATATTTTCACACTGCTTATTTAACTTCTATGCAGAGTACATTATGCAAAGCCCAAGATGGAATCAAGATTGCCAGGAGAAATAACAATAACCTCAGATATGCAGATGACATCACCCTTATGGCAGAAAGCAAAGAGGAACTAAAGAGCCTCTTGATGAAGATGAAAAAGGAGAATGAATTAAAACTCAGCATTCCAAAAATGAAGATCGTGGCATCTGGTCCCATCACTTCATAGCAAATAGATGGGGAAACAATGGAAACAGTGACAGACTTTATTTTCATATGCTCCAACATAACGGAAGATGGTGACAGCAGCCATTAAATTAAAAGACGCTTGCTCCCTGGAAGGAAAGTTATGACAAAACTAGACAGCATATTAAAAAACAGACATTACTTTGCCAACAAAGGTCCATCTAGTCAAAGCTGTGGTTTTCTCAGTAGTCCTGTATGGATGTGAGAGTTGGACCATAAAGAAGGCTGAGTGCGGAAGAATTGATGCTTTTGAACTGTGGTGTTGGAGAAGACTCTTGAGAGTCCCTTGCACAGCAAGAATATCAAACCAGTTAATCCTGAAGGAAATCAGTCTTGAATATTCATTGGAAGGAGCTGAAGCTCCAATACTTTGGCCACCTGATGCAAAGAGCTGACTCATTAGAAAAGACCCTGATCCTGGGAAAGATTGAAAACAGGAGGAGAAGGGGATGACGGAGGACAAGATGGTTGGATGGCATCACTGACTCAATGGACATGAGTTTGAGCAAGCTCTGGGAGATGGTGATGGACAGGGAAGCCTGGCATGCTGCAGTCCATGGGATTGCAAAGAGTTGGCTGTAACTGAGCAACTGAACAACAAAAAATATATTTATTTGCTGACACCACAATATTTTTATTAGCGAGGCTTTATGGTCTTAGTATTTGTTAGGGCTAGTTCTCCCTTACTGCTTTTATTTTTCAGGATTTTCCTTCATATTGTTGTATGTTTACTTTTCCATATGGATTATAGAATTAGCTTACATAGCTTCAGGGAAAAAATGGCTTTTATTTTATTTGGAATCACATTGCATTTATATATTATGAAGGGAGTATTGATATGTTAATGATAGATTTTCCTGTGTGAGAATAAACAGAGCCTTTCCATTTGTTTCAGGTCTCTTTTTTTTTTAGTTTACAGGAGTGTTGCACAGTTTTCCAAAATAGTTTTAGCACATTTTCTGTTAAGTATTTTATCTTTATTAGTTTATATATTAATAACATCATATCTTTCAAATGATCACTTAGTGTTTTTTGTAAATATACTTTCAGCTAAATTTTATATCATGCTTCCTTACAGAACTTGTTAGTTGTTATTTTTAGTGCTTATTCTCTGTTTTCTAGGTGTAGTATTAGTTTACATAAAAACATAAATTATTTCTCACTTCTTATGCATCTAGTGCTTATGATTGCTAGCTTGTATTTCCAAAGCTATGTTATATAATTGCAGAGAGAAAGGAGAAACTTACTTGGTCCTTGTTCTTAATGGAAATACCTGTAATGCTTCTTCATTAATAATGATGCTAGTATTCGGATGGAGATCTAATCATATGACATCTTTCTGTCTAGATTTAATGATATGGTCCATTATAGGAATGAATTTACTAATACTGAAGCATCATTGTCTGGAAATAAATCTCCCTGATGATGATGCATTCTTTAAACTTGATTTTAGATTCTATTTGCTGGCATTTTATTTAGGATTTTTCCATTGCCAGTCACAAGTGAGATTGATTTATAGTTGTATGTGTGTGTATGTGTGTGTATGTGTGTATTTGCAATCATTACCAGATTTGTGTCAAAGTAATACTTGTTTTATAAAGATCATTTGAGAGTTTTCCTTTTCTGCTACAATTTAAATGGTATTGAGATTATCTAGTCTTTGAAGTTTTGATAAAATTCCACTGTAAAATCATTTGGGCCTAGTTTTTATAGATAGTTCTTTGATAGCTTTTTCTTTTTCCACTATAGGAAATTTCCATTTGTGTTTTCTATGATTAGCAAAGTCAATTTTGGTAAATTGTATTTTCCTAGGAAATAATCCAATTCACCTAGATTTTCTGTTTGACTTGTGCAAAGTAAGTCACTTTTGATTTTAAAAATTTTGTCATGTCCTTGGTTATCTCCTTGTTTTTATTTCTCATTTGTGTTTTCTCACTTTCTTCCTTTATTGGGTCAGCTAGTGGTTTATCTGTTGTGCTGATTTGTTTTTTAACAAAGAATCAGCATTTTGATTGATTAGTTTCTATTGCTTTCCTGTTCTCTACCTCATTACTTTTATTTTTAACTTTATTATTTCCTTCCTTATGCTTTCTTTTCCTTTGTTGTTCTTTTCTAATTTTTAAGGTGGGAACTAAATATATTTATATATTTATTTTCATCCTTTTATTTTGTTGTTGTTGCAAGAATTTAAGGCTATGAATTTTCTGTGATCACCAGAACTGTGATCTATTAACTGTACTCTATTGAGTTTACATTTCATTGCAACACTTTTTTAGAAATTCTGCAAGTTAAAATTTTCCACTTTATCTGAAGAGTTGTTTAATAAAGAATTAACAATTTTCCAATGGGATTTCTAGTTTCAGGAAGAGCAGAGGAGCAAAGCATGAAATAAAGGCACATGCTCCACTTCAGGTTTCCAGAACTTTTAGTTTTGAATGAAGTTGAAAATTCTGAGTATTAGCTGAAACTGCATTTAGGTTTTATCCAATTAAAAAAAAGGACTATTTGTTCAATATCTACAGATGATCAGAATAGCTATGGGAACTACCAAGTTGCCATCCAAGGGCAAGAAAGCAATAAACTTATTGAGAGAATTAATGGAGAATGATAAGAAACAGTAAAATTTATTTGTTGTTGCATCTAGGCATTCATTAGCTTTTCATTTTTTAAAAAAGATTTATTGATTTTTGGCTGCTGGGTCTTTGCTGTTGCATGCAGGCCATCTCTAGTTGTGGGGAGCGGGGGCTATTCCTGGTTGCAGTGTGGTAGCTTCTCGTGGTGGCTTCTCTTGTTGTGGAGCACAGTCTCTAGGCGTGCGGGCTCGGTAGTTGTGGTGCTCGGGCTGCATGTGGGATCTCCCTGGATCAGGAATTGAACCCACGTCCCCTGCATTGGCAGGAGGATTCTTAACCACTAAGCCACTNTTAGTATTTTACTATCTTTATTTAGTTTTAGAAACTTTGTATTCACAACAAAGCACTTAACGGCTTTTAAATGCTAAAGTGAGCCTATTCCAATTTCCCCTTTAACACAAGGGTAAATGGAACCCTAAGGCGTCTTTCTTGCTTTCTCATAAAAACTATTTTCATAGATATTTTCAAGCCAAACATATGAGTTATAAGATTTGTATCAATGACACTGTGTTTCCTTGTTCATATTAAACACTGACTTACCAAATTCAATAATCCAATAAATACAGATACATAATTGTGAGATTACCTTTTCTATTTGAAATGAGAATTCTCAGGGGATCAGAGAATCCATGTATTAATGCACACCCCCAAAACTGAAATCACCTCCCTATTAGCCGGGATAATCAAAAGGTGACTCTCTTATCCATGTATAGAAACTGCAGCTCAGTTAACCAGTTAATGTTTATTACATTTCTGATTTGCAAATATCCTGGGTCATTTACCTAACTTCTCTTACAGATTCCTTGCATCTTCAAATAGAATCTTAAGGAAAGCAAATTTAACTTATCCCTTTGCTCAGCAAATATATTAATAATCCCAATAAAAACTAGTTCCTGGAGGATTTGCTAATGGAGTTTTGCCAGAATTTGAACCTGGGCAATGTCATTAGGATAAAGAGTGCCTTCCTGAGTCTAAGGCACAACAGACATCAGAATCAAAGCGAAAACTCACATTTTGTTTGTTGTCATCAGTTTCCTCAGAGGACACAGAATTCTGAAGAAGAAAAGACACAAATCAGTGTACATCATACACACTTAACTTTTTTATTCAAAAGTTTGCTTTTTCCACCCAAAGCAGGTCTTATTTTTCTAGCCTCATTGGTAGAAGGATTAAGCAGGAAGGCAACCTGACAGATCAACTGGTGTCCTAAGCTCACATTTACAAACAGGCAGGAAAGTGAAGTGAAGTTGCTCAGTCGTGTCCAACTCTTTGTGACCCCGTGGACGGTAGCCGACCAGGCTCCTCAGTCCATGGAAATTTTCCAGGCAAGAGTACTAGAGTGAGTTGCCATTTCCTTCTCCAGGGACTCTTCCCGACCCAGGGATTGAACCTGGGTCTCCCACGTTGCAGGCAGATGCTTTACTATCTGAGCCACCAGGAAAGCCACTGCAGTTGGATTCTTTACCAACTGAGCTAGCAGGGAAGCCCAACAGGCAGGAAAGATCCAAACCAGCTCAAATGGCCGGCTTGGCGGCTATTTTTTGTGGTGGTTGTTCTTTAATTGTGAGAATTTTAATATTTAGAGTTAATTAAAATGAAAAATACCTGTGGTGTTAGGAAAGTCTGCTTCTGAGATGGGTCAGGCTTTAGCCATGTGGCTACAGCATCTGGGTATTTGTTGTTAAGCTACAAAAGAGAGTTGCATATTTGTCATTATTATTATTATTATTATTATTTTAAAGAAACAGGGGCCTCTAAGTGATAAGCTGAAATAACTATTCTTCCCCAATCTTGACAGATAAGCATAATATGCTTTATTTAGTCAATTAGAACCTTAGTGATGTCTTTCATAATTTATTCTTTTTGATAGATTCATTTAACAGACTTTTACATAACACTTACTGTAAGCCAGGCACACTATCAAAGTGACTTATAAATACTAATTCATTTAATCCTGAGATGAGTCTCATCATTATTACTATTATTCCTTCAGCCTCTGTCCACGGAATTCTCCAGGCAAGAATATTGGAGTGAATAGCCATTCCTTTCTCCAGGGGATCTTCCTGACTGATCCAGGGATCAAGCCCAGGTCTCCTGCACTGCGGGCAGATTCTTTAGCATCTGAGCCACCAGATGGGAAGCCCACAATAAAGTTCAGTGATAGTAAGTAGCAGAGCCAGGGTTTAAATCCAGTGGCTCCTCACACTGATGATACACTGCCTTCCTGTTCTATGTCTGATAGCTGAAATTCCTCAGATGAAACACAACTAAATCAGAGATGACCTTAATTAGCACTGGTCTTCCTTTTTTACTTCCTCTATGGAAGAAGAAACTCTCTCAGGCTGTGCTGTCATGAATGGTATCCTCTAGCCATGAAACTCATGGCTATTTAAGTTAATAAAGAAAACTATCTTCTCTGGCACTAGCTACATTGTGAGTGTCCAATAGTCACATGTGTTTATGGCTACCTTAGTGGACAGTGCAGAAATATAATATCAACACCATTGCATAAAAGTTTTCTTGATGTAAGTTGCCAAAGACATGAATGGAATGATCTTTCACTCAGCCAAATTATTTATCTGGGAAATGGCAATAAGATGCTGGTGCAGAGGAATGGAAATTGCTCTGAATAAGTGTCATCTGGTGGGCTGCATGACCCAGGGCAATCACTTCACATCTCTGTCATTGGGAAGAGCCACCATAGGGGCTCCAAGAATGCTTCCACAGCCAAGGAGCGGAAGAAAGGAAGGAAAGTGGTCAGTAGCACTTCCGGCTTCCCCATGTCTGGCTCTAACCAGAGCAGTTTCATATTGGACTTCTATGAAGGTTTTTGCTGAAAGAAGGGCTTTCTTTAACTAAAAAACATGAATACTACTGCTGTAGATGAGTTCAAAGGTTCCCTATTTTTTCTTTAAAATATATATTTATATAAAAATACATTATATTTACACAAATATGTTATAATTGATATATAATTAATATATTTTTCTGATGATATATGTAATCAGGCTTTATCTGTATTTATAAGATAAGTTCATAATTTTTAAAAAGAAATATGAAGAACATACAGATAAGAAAAACAAACTAAAATTGCTCAGTAATTATATCACTCATAGATAACCAGTGTTTTCATCTTCAGGGGTGTCTCTTTGTAGACTTTCCATACTTCCTACTAGCTCTACATTTCTAGGATTCTAGAAGGTTCTGTCTGCTCTCCACTTATCTCTTAAGTAACATTTAACCACTTACACTGCCATAGCTTCATGTGCCATATTTTATTCTATTAAAAAGGCACTAATTCTTGCCTCGAAGAGCGTGACCTCTATTTTCTCTGGAAATGTTAATTTTCTGGCTTATTATTGTGATTCAATACTTGTGTTATTAGATCAGTTGGAAAACAGACACACTACACATGCCCATTTGCATATCCAAACACCCCCTGCAGTACTTCTCCTAACATCTTCATTGAGCAATCTAACTGCAGTGACCTCAGACAGCTCTATATTGGCCTTTATTCTATTTATCTGGGATTGAACCCTGTGTGCCTTTTTGTCCAAGCTCCTTGGGACAATACCCGTTTGTTGTTTGGCTGGCATGGTTTCACCTATTGTGGAGGGACAGGTACATCTACAGTGCTGGGTGGAATAATTATGAAGAGTTTGATTTGGTCTTATGTTTGGTTAGAAAAATCTAAAGTCATCTGATAAGCACAGTAGATACAAACAGCATAAATGTACTTTTTTTTTTTAAAGACAATGGGTTTCTTAGCAAATATCTTCAGAGATACTGTGAATATTATGGTTATGCCAACTCTCCAATACATGAAGTGAATTTTAAACTTAGCTTGCCATTAAGTAAAGTGAAAGATGGATTTTTTTACTTCTAGAACTAGGTTGACTCATGGAAACAAAAGTCACACAACTTCACAGAACTCATTTTATAGAAATGATTGACATAAAGCATCATTTTATTGTATTAAGAAATCTAGTTTAGTTTTAAAGAAGAGCGTGACCTCTATTTTCTCTGGAAATGTTAATTTTCTGGCTTATTATTGTGATTCAATACTTGTGTTATTAGATCAGTTGGAAAACAGACACACTACACATGCCCATTTGCATATCCAAACACCCCCTGCAGTACTTCTCCTAACATCTTCATTGAGCAATCTAACTGCAGTGACCTCAGACAGCTCTATATTGGCCTTTATTCTCTTTATCTGGGATTGAACCCTGTGTGCCTTTTTGTCCAAGCTCCTTGGGACAATACCCGTTTGTTGTTTGGCTGGCATGGTTTCACCTATTGTGGAGGGACAGGTACATCTACAGTGCTGGGTGGAATAATTATGAAGAGTTTGATTTGGTCTTATGTTTGGTTAGAAAAATCTAAAGTCATCTGATAAGCACAGTAGATACAAACAGCATAAATGTACTTTTTTTTTTTAAAGACAATGGGTTTCTTAGCAAATATCTTCAGAGATACTGTGAATATTATGGTTATGCCAACTCTCCAATACATGAAGTGAATTTTAAACTTAGCTTGCCATTAAGTAAAGTGAAAGATGGATTTTTTTACTTCTAGAACTAGGTTGACTCATGGAAACAAAAGTCACACAACTTCACAGAACTCATTTTATAGAAATGATTGACATAAAGCATCATTTTATTGTATTAAGAAATCTAGTTTAGTTTTAAGAGACTGTATTAATTAAAAGCAATTCTATGCTTGGTACTGTACTAGAACCATAGCAGGCACCCAATAAATACTTATAAGTTATTTTGTTTGACTGTGCAAATAAGTAAAATTGTCATATGTTTGTAGTGCATCTTGCAGCAGTTGTATAAAAAACTATATCATAAACCAAGAAGATGCTTACCTGCTTTTCCTCAGAGCTGCCAGAATTGGTCTGTTTAACCTTTGAAATAGAAAGGTGAAGAAATATGACAGTGTGAATGTGTTCCTAGCAACATTGAAACACACAATTCATTTATTATAAGGAGTTTTTTTTTCAAAAAAGATTCAGTTGTACTCACTGGAAGGGCGGAGGCAATGCCCAAGAGGCAGCAGCAAATGACTGCAATTCTCATGGTAATGATTTTTCCTGCAAAATATTTTGTAAGAAGTATTTTATCTTTTCTAAGGTCAAAACAGTGATGCTTTTTTAGGCTACCACATTACAAAATCACCACAAATAAATATGTATTTTGTGTGGAAATACTTGACAAATTTCTTTTTAATATTATGATCTTTTGAGTTAATATTTGTACTGCCACCTTTATTTTCCATCTCTCACTATTAGGCAAGGGAGAGAGGAATTTTACAAGTCTATATTTATTCAACATTTAGAATTTCAGAGATTACACCATTACTACTTGATATCTCCAGCCATCTAAACCTAAAAACAGATCAGCAGTAATTGAATTAAAATAATAAAGCAAGAATGAGAATATTTATTTTTCAGAGAAGAAAAACACAAAGAGAGAAAATAAAAATAAGAAAGAGAAACTTGCTGCCTCCATTTTCCAACATGCATTTCAAATGTGATTTTCAACTTAAATTATTTAAAAGGTATTACTTAGGTGAGATGAAGCTGTCTCTAAAGTTAGTAAGTCAAGGTATTCTGGAAGTTTGAAATGAAAACGAAAACATTGAAGTCAACAGCTTTTCTATTTGTAAATCTAAACAGTATCATATAGATATTTTGGTGAAATTTTAATAGCTAAATACAGAGGTGAAAATATTCAGAAAGGGTTTTTTTCCTTGAAAGAGGGATAAATCAAATCATTAAAAATTAGCATTAACATCAGCTTATATGAATACTAAAAAGCATTTTCCTTTTAAATGTCCCATGGTCATCTATCCATTTAAAATGATGTATATTCAATCATTCCAAAGGGGCGTAGAATTTTTCTTTTATTTCCTGACTGAAAAAAGTAGTTTCAGTTCTTTTGAGGGCTCCATGGAAATAGTTTTAAGTTTTATATTCGACTTTCTTTCAAAATAACCGGCCACCTTTCCTGCAGGACATCCGCCCTAGATTTGGCATGCATATTCAGAAGACAAGAACAACGTAAGTCTGATTAACAGCGTTTACCATTATACTCTTTTCCTTACAAATTGACCTTCCCAATGAAATGAGGCAGTGCACAGAGGGATCAGGAGTCGTGTAGCAAACTGCAGGCTTACCTTGGTCTGCGGCGGCAGAGAAGAGTCCGGTCCCTGTGATGCTGATGCAGTGCTCACTGCTGCCCTCCTGGCCTGCTCTCCCTGCTGTTGACAACCAGGATCTCGCAGAATTTAAAGGCTGCTCCAGATGCTCTCCACCTACACAGGGGGCGGAGAGATGTGTCATGAGGCGTTTTGCCACCACCCAGCCCACTTGCTCCCACACTTCCCCCTCTGGTTTTGTGGTCACAGAACAAACACATGCACACACACACGCGCACACGCACACAAACACCCACTACCCTGCAGTTAAAACATTACTTATGTACAATATCATTAACTGTCTTTTTCGTTCATAGCACTGACTCTCAGCATCCTGGAAGGGCATCTAGAGGGCCCATGAAGACATAGGGAGAGGGAAAAGAGTTTATTTCTGAGTTAGAAGAAAATATTGTCTAAATCAGTCCTAGATAAAATTAAATAGAGTAGATTTTTGTTTCTTTTGGTTTAAATAACAGATTAATGTGATATATGCAACGGAATTATACTTATTTAAGAGGTACCAGGCTATTGTTCAGCTACACACAAAGAGTTCAGACACCCTTCCCCCATATTTACTTAAGCTTCATTTTGAGTTTAAAGTGTGCAGCAGCTTGTCATTTAGACAAACGGCATTAGAAACATTAAAATTCCTAGTCACGTTCATAAGATTGGATTCACAATGACTTTCAAGGACATGGATTTTTGTTGCATGGTTTGAATTATTTGGAGCTGATGGATCTGATAACTGCTATATAAAATAAAAGAATGGTAATTTATTCTCATTGTGGAAGAAGTAAAGTAGCTTATGACCGAGAGCAGGGTTACTGCTTGAAAGTGCTGTTTCAGGAGCCGGCATGTGGCTTTGAATTCTACTCTGCACAAATTAGCTGTATGACCTTGGGCAAATCATTTAGCCTATCTATACTTGTTTCTTCGTCTGTCAAATGCAGAGTTCATGGGGTTTTTGAGAGATTTAAGTGAATTAGAATGCATAAAACTAAAAATACCTACCACATATTTGCAAATGCCCTGTATGTTTTAACCACTGTATGTATGTTAACAATTATTAAGATTGTTAGGAGAAGAAGGTAGTCATGATTTGTATTAACTCTAAATGGAATGGTTTCTTGGAATGAGATCAGATATAAGATTTTTAAACTGTACGTCACAGGATAATTTGCATGCCTCTGAAGGACTGGTTTAGATTTCTTAATTGTCATTTTCTAATTTTTCTCTCAGGATATATAAAATTTGTTACTGAATAAGAAAATAAAAATTCTATATTAAAAAAACGTTACTGGGCATTTAAAAGGTGTTTGAAAGAAAATTATGGATGAAGGTTGACTATTGGAACAGAAATTAGGGGTAGCAGAGCTCTGAGTTCATTTTAAACATTTAATACTGTTTCAAGATTACTTAACCTCTTCATCTACCTTTCTCAGATGTGAAATGGAGATTGTACTATTCATTTATCTCACACTTCCATTGTAAGAATCATGTAAAAAGTGAGAGTAAAGATAAATGAGCCTACTTATTATAATGGCCTATTTATTATAAATGGCCCTATGTAAGATGTCAGCTCCTATTTACCAAAATTGCTTTTTAGAAAACTTTTATTTGGCAGCACCAGGTCCTAGGTGCATGTGGGATCTCTTAGTTGTGGCATTGGGATCTAGTTCTCTGATCAGGGATCAAACCCAGGCCCCCTGCATTGGGAGTGTGGAGTCTTAGATGCTGGGTCACCAGTGACATCCCCCAATTTTGCTTTTAATATAAATATTAATTAAATAATTTTCTGATTATTTAATCAAAGATAATTTTTAAAANCCCCCAATTTTGCTTTTAATATAAATATTAATTAAATAATTTTCTGATTATTTAATCAAAGATAATTTTTAAAAAATCAAAATTTAATTGATTAAATAATAGATTTGCAGATATTTGGTGGTGGACTGAGGGTGGGGAGAAGGTGGAATATGGCTCTTTTAAATTGGATGCATTTCAAATAAATTGATGTTTTTGATTTGTGGGTTCTAGGCACACATTTTAACAACTCAAATGGCAGCTATCTCTATAAAATATAAAACACATAGGTTATAAAGTTGCAAAAACAGATTTCTTATTTCTGCTCTTAAAAACTGTTGTTTCCCTTTAAACACATTACCCACATAACTGTCATATTGTCAGTGTAGCGGAGGGAAGCTCACACATTCTAAAAAAATCCCCAAGATTTCCACAGGATTCGGTATGGTTTACTCCGTGCCCACGGGAATGATTTAATAGGAAGTTAGGAAGTTATAGGAATAGATTCTGCTGGCGCCCAGCCATCTTGAGATGAACCATATGACCCACACGGCTCTTCCGGTCATAGCTCCAAATTACCACACGGTGGCAGCGTTTCTGAGAAGGACTTCACAGTCCGGCTGCGTCAGTGATTTGCGGCAGGATGGAACGTGCATGCATTTAATGACTGAGCCATAAAACAACCGTGAGGCCCTCCATTTCTTGGAATGGCAGGTGAGGATATATTTCCCAACAATGACCCGTCACACATTAACAGGGGACACAGAGGCCAAGAGAAGAAAAACATTCTTTTCTGCTGTGTTGTCTTCGGCAACCCCAGGTGTAACCTGTGGACTCCTTCCCTGTTTTTCACCCTCGCTCAAGAGGTTACTGATCGCAAGGCTCACTCAGAGTAAAGGCTTGTGAATTCCTGGTTAAGGAACACGTCTGGCATGTTCAGAGAGGATAAAATGGTTTGTGGTAGAGACGGTTCTGTAAAGTATGAGATGTATAGTGCGTCATTCTAACTGTTTTGAATAATTTTACTTATTTATTTTTGGCCGAGGTGGGTCTTTGTTGCTTCTGGGCTTTTCTCTGGTTGTGGTGCCTGGGCTTCACATCGCAGCGGCGTCTCTCGTTGCGGAGCACGGGCTCCGGAGTTCTCAGGCTTCAGTAGAAGCTCCCCCGGCTCTAGAGCACAGGCTCAGTCAATAGATGTGGCGCAGAGGATTAGTTGGACCTGCCTCTCTTAGATTGGCAGGCGGGTTCTTGACCGCTAAGACACTGAGGGAGCCCCATTCTGATTTTTGAAGAGACTCCTGCTTCCAGCTTTTCATAATCAGACATGCTGCTGACACTTATTTTTTTTTTCGGAGTAAGATTTTCCAGCTGTCAGAATTAGCATGTTAAATGACTTGAATCAGAGAGGCTTGATCTGTAGCGCTTCCACACTATTTCCATTCTTGAATTAGTTTAATCCTTGGTTGTTAGAATCAAAAGCTCAACATGATCAAATTCCTTGTAAATCTTGTATCCAGAAAGGGAATAAGTTTAGTGTTAAATGAAGAGTGAGTTGTGATCATAAAATATAAAGAGTGTAAGAGGATGTATGGAGGCATAAAAAACATGTTTTTTTCCCCCACAAATTACGTGAAAATTTTCATATAATAAGAAAATTTGTGTCCACCTGTTTTGGTGGACTTTTTATATTGACTTCTAGTTTATTTGGATATTTGTAATTATATTTTGCTAAGTATAATCAACAATTTTGACTTTTTCAGCTCTGTAAATATTTTTTCCCTTGAGTAAAGGTTCAGATAAAAAGCTGATCTTGTGCCATTGCTATCTATCATTGAGAAGTTGGGAATTATATTTAACTGGAAGCCTACTATTCAATCATTTACTCATACGTAGTCTAGGGAAGAAGGGAATTATTTATTAGAGGGAGGGAAACAAGGATTGGTGATAAGGGTTTTTTTAAAATTTATTTTTAATTGAAGGAGAATTGTTTTATGATACTTTGTTGGCTTCTGCCATACAACATGAAGGAGCCGTAAGTATGCATATCTCCCCTCCCTCTTGAACCTTCCCCCTCCCCTATCCTACCCCTCTAGGTTGTCACAGAGCGAGGGGTAGAAGAATAGCAGCTTCCCATTAACTATCTGCCTTACATATGGTAGTGTATGTGTTTCCATGCTGCCGTCTCAATGTGTCCCACTCTCTTCTTTCCCCACTGTGTCCACAAGTCTGTTCTCTATGTCTGGATCTTTCCTATCCTGCAAATAGGTTCATCAGTACTATTTTTCTAGATTCTACATGTATACCTTAATATATGATATTTGTTTTTCTCTTTCTGATTTACTTTGCTCTGTATAACAGGCAATAGGTTCACCCACCTCACTATAACTGACTCAAAAGGGAACTCTCTGGCATTGTTGGTGGGAATGTGAATTGATATAGCCACTATGGAGAGTATGGCTAATACTTTAAAAACTAGGAATAGTGCTCACTTCGGCAGCACATATACTAAAATTGGAATGATACAGAGAAGATTAGCATGGCCCCTGTGCAAGGATGACATGCAAATTTGTGAAGCGTTCCATATTTTAAAAAAAAAATAAATAAAAACTAGGAATAAAGCTACCATATGACCCAGCAATCCCATTACTGGACATATACCCTGAGAAAACTATAATTGAAAAAGACACATGTACTCCAATGTTCAATGCTGCACTGTATACAACAGCCAAGACATGGAAGCAACCTAGATGTCCATCAACAGATGAATGGATAAAGAAGTTGTGGTACATGCATACAATGGAATATTACTCAGCCATAAAAAGGAACTCGTTTGAAGTTCTTTTAAAAGTTCAGACATGAAATTAGAATATTTCAGAAATAGAAAAAAAAATCCCCCAAACTTTGTATCCTATTGCTCAATAAATTAGCCAACAAAACTCAGCTCCTTAAAAAATAGTCTTACTATCGATAAATAGTAGTGTCACTTAAAAGAAAAAAGTTTCATTTTAGACCCATAGAATTGTTATAGAGTAAATAAATATTCAATAAATTGTTAATGAGTAAGCAATCAACTCTCCATCCATAGCACCTAATTCTGAGCATATAGTTCTTGTTTATCAGTACAATGCATGGGTGCTATGCTTGAGTCCATATGGATCTTATTCATGTTTGCATCTGCATTTTTCTGCTAGGACTCAGTAAATGGGCAACAGTGAATGAAGGAACACTACTTTAATAATGCTTACACCTATGGGGGCTGCAACTAACTTAATTTTAC